ACCCTACCATGGGTTCATCAGGGAAGTGACAATAACCCCTACCCCCCCCCCCCTCACGACCAGTTGTGTCTAACCCGCTACGGTCCCCTTCATTGTCAAACTCTTCAGTGACTTGGCCAGACAGCAACGACTAGACTAATAACGTCATTAATCTAGACGGGGCCCTTTTGGATAGGGATGACAATTGATGACACGACACAAAATGAAATTGGGACGAAAATAAAATTCGAATTCGTGTTCGTGTCCTGTTCGTGTTAAGTGTAAAAAACACGATATTGTGTCGTGTCGTGTTTGTGTTCGTGTTCAAAATTCAACACGATTTAGCATTTTTTACATGTTTTTCGTGTTTGTCGTGTTATGTATGCTTAAATATTAGTTAAATAAACTAATTTTTATATTATGTTATCTTTGTCGTGTCGTGTCGTGTTTGTCATTTTTTAATTGGTTTGTTTTCGTGTTAGTTAAAAAAACGCGACTTCGTGTCGTGTCGTATCGTATCAGAAAAAAAAACACGACACGATGGCCCATTTTGTCAAACCTACTTTTTAACCCAATGACAAGCTAATCTAGTGGCATGGTCTTCGTCTTCTCGGTCAACACGGTCATTAGATATTTTCCCATGACAATGGGCTATATACGAAGAGGGCATATGTGGTATGGACTCTGATTACCTATGTGTCTTGACCCTTGAGTAGTGGGTACTTGTAGTGACTAGTGAGTGATTGTACATATCGATACCATTAACATAAAAACATATTAAATTATAGTTGTGTTGAAAAAATTGATATGAATGGTGTTTATGGTTGTAAAATCTGGTTGACCAATTACCATGGTGATGAACTCTTTAGTCAGTTTAAATAATCATTGCTAGGAGACAAATTTTATCTTAATCCGGAACATAAGCAACTATTCATCTTCACCGTTTTGTTTGGATCTTGTTTTGGGTTCTTAGTGAGATTCCACATGAGGAACTATTCATGTTCTCGAGTTTTATCCCATTGAGGATTCATTGATGCCTTGTTCTAGAGTTAAAATTAAGGAAAGGGAAGGTAAAGAAATTGATGAAAAAAAGAATGGAAAAAGAATTGATTAGGTGTGTTCTAAAGTTGGAAAGAAATTTATGTTCTCAAGTTGAAAAAAAAATATTTTTTTTTTACATTTTTGCCCTTCATTTGTTAATAAAACATTAAACAATATTCTAAGTGTTACAAAATGGACTTTGGCATAGCGGTATCATAGGGATATGATCCCTTTAGCATAAGTTGAGGGTTTATATCCTGCTTCGGACAAAATGTGTAGCTTTAAGACTAAAATAGTAGGTGTATGTTAGCTATATACTAATAACTAAAATTGTATGCAATGTGTTGATTAATAGAAAAAGGATTTGTTCTTTGACAAAGGATTGCGCGGGTCTATCGAGGATATGGTAGTATGTGAATGCCTCTTCTTTGCAGACATCCAGTGGCGTATGGCTTCCTTACTAATCTGTTTCGGTGGTTTGGGTTTGTACTCAGCATACGAGGTTTCCTCCTACGCATCTGTAGCCTTGAGGGCCCAATCTTGGACATTACAAGACCACATCTTACGTGGCAGTGGCATATGTGGTATGGACTCTGATTACCTATGTGTTTTGACTCGTCTCCACGATACGATTCAGGGATTCGATTGTAGCAGTTTCACTAATAAGTACACCCCCCCCCCCTCACCCTTAAATCCCAAAAAGCATTTGTGTGTGCCCTTTTTAGCAAATTCGTCAAAAAAATCGACTTCGACATGACTGTTAGACAGAAAGCAGTTTTTGAGTTTCTTCGGGCACCTCATGCTCAGGATTTTCTGCTAACTATCCCTATTGATGGCCTCGTCGATCATATGTCTCCTGTGGAGTACCGAGATATCCTTCGTTACCGCCTCATAATTCCTCTATTCCCAATTGACGAGATATGTCCAGTTTTCCCGCAAGGCATGTTTGGACACTTTTAGGGAACATGCAGTTCATTGTAGAGAGCTCCCTGGTTTCAAATACCGACATGATGTGGTTAGGGATGTTCATTTTTATGCTTGTTGGCATGCTGGTATTTCCGTGAAGAAAGAAGCGTCAGTGAACTTTTTTACGAACTCGCAGGATAGAAGATCCACACTAAGGTCAGGTGACATTTTGATCTTTGGATGGGTAAGAGGGAAGCACGCTTGTGTGGATCTTACTGGGGTCTCTCCTCTCGTCGATTTGATGAGCGGGAGTTTCACAGCAGGGCATGCCGCTTTGAAAGCCGCAGCATGCAAAGTGGCAAAGCACGAGAATGCATGTATAGAAAATCAACATGTGTTTATACCTTTTGCATTTGATACATTTAATTTTCTCACACCAAAGGCGGTGGAGCTCCTCAATAGAGTTCAATGGGTCATGCATTCTAATGTTATATCTCCTAGATCTGCAGATGTTGTTTTCAAAAGAATTAGTTTTGCCATCCAGAAAGGGCTAGCGGTGCAGATTGTTGTCTGTTTGTCTTCCGTCGATATGTATTGACCTCTGTGTTTTGTAAAACTAAATGGTTCACTTTATACCGTTATTAAAATGGCCATATTTTCCAAAAAAAAAAATAATAAAAAAAATAAAAAAAAATAAGATAAAGCACAAGTATTTCATTGTTTCTGTGTAGATTTGATCTTGAATTTTAATATGAAACCTTCTTTCGTGTTTTTCATTGTTCTTCTTAGTTGTGGGTTTGTTATTCAAAAAAAATCTGGGTTACTTGCAAAAAATGAAGACGAACAAACTTGCAAAAAGATAGGCTGAAGATGACCATATTCGATTGTATTGATCTTTAAGTGGGTTTTGATATTCCTTTTCTTAAATCCATAATATCAATGTTTATGATTATGTTTGGAATTCATTTTGGTTCATTTGATTTGGTTTTAAGCTTCATCTTCTTGAATCAATAAAAATTTATTCATCGTCTTCTCAGCTTATTTAACCAAAAAATTAAACACAAAGAAATCAGATGAATCAAAATAAATAACCTACAAAATTTATTCGATGTTCTTTGCACAGTCTTTTGTACCTGACTGAACCTCCAACTTTTTGCTAAACACAAAGACCAAATCTGCAGTTCAAGTCTACATACCACCATTACCATAATAGAAATCTTTTGAAATGTCATCATAGGAGATGAAAGAAACCATACCAATATCAATATTTCATGATCTTATTAGTAGGTCATTAATTGGTTTACTAGCAAGCATACAAAGAAATGCAAAAAAGGTTTTCTGTCAAATCTTGTATTTCATGCATGTGGGTTATGGCTTTGACAAGAGTGGGATGCAAAATTGGAAGAAAGATTATGTCTTGTCTAAGATATAGGTAGATCTCAACAACAAGCCTAATCATTTAACTGCTAAATAAGTCGAAGAGCATGATGTTTAATGGAAGCTGCAAATAATTTGCTTCATCTAAGAACTACATCTTAATGATGAATAAAAAAAGGTAAGATTTTACCTAACAACTAGATACATGCCTTCATTTGTGTCATCCACTTCTCAAAGCATTTCAACCAGGAGTTGTGTCCACATGGAGTCTGCAAGGTGACTGTAATCAACATATTCTAATCTAATTATCCAGAATATGTATGACATTACTTCTTATTCTTTTGAATAATAATTAACAAATCATGAATGGAGAATCCTTAGCTACATGAGATCACAATCTCATTTAATAACAGGAGTTTATAATCTTCATCATCATCTGTACCACTTTAATTTGAAGCAACAACATAAATTTGGAAAATTTATAACTTCTCAAAACGTTGATCTCAAACTGTTTTCACCATGAACATTAGTCATGGTAACAAGTAACAACTATATCACATCATCCATTTTTGGTGAGAAGATTACTGATATAGGAAGTCTCACTTTCCTAATGAGACACAATGATCGCCATTTGTACAAATTTAGGCTTGTTCAAACTTTCAAACCCATCAGAAAAGAAAAAAAAAAAAAACACAATAACACCAGTACGTTTCTATCGACTATAAATATAATGCAGCAAACAATAATTTCAAACTTAAATCATCTATGATGTACAAAATAGCAATCGATAAATGCAAATTCCGAACTCAAAGAATGAAATAAGGGTTCTTCATCGCTCAAAAAAAAATACAGAGGATTATACCTTTAGTTGCTGGAATAAGGATCAGTAAGGAGTAGCATCATCTTCAAATCGATGACTCTTCGGTAAAAACGAGAAAATCGCTAGAAAATATGGCAAATCGACTAACGAAACTTGATATTCTAGATAAATACATTTGAAGAAGCGTCCCACATCGGAGTTGTGGTAAAATAAAAAGGGTTTTATTGAGTAAACTGGAGGACAATGTCACGTGTTCGTAAGAAGGAGAGATGGTTGGCATCTCCCCTGACAGGGACGGGAACAGCCTTCGGGCTTACCTGTTACCACACATCCGGTTAAGGCTACCCACTTCGGTGGATCTATAACCCAATTTTTTTTATCCCCCTTCTACTTTACTAAATAATCTTTTTGCTTCTATATAACTAATTTCTTCTTTTTAACTTTACCTTTATATAACCGGTTTTTTATTTCTTCTTTTTCACTTTACTAGTAACTAAATTAATTTTGTTTGGTTCTGATGTAACCAGTAGAATATAATATTTGCTTTCCAACTTAATAAAAAAAAAAGTTAATTTCTAGATTGAATTCGAACTATATTTCAAAATTAGATCGAATATTATTTTTGGTTAATTCAATTTTTGCTTACTTTATTAAATAAAATACTAATATATTTTCGTTATTTCCTCAAGAAAATAAATAACGTACATTAGAATATACACCAAGAATTACGTAATTTAAGTTGATTCAATTTGAGATTGTTAACTAATTTCAAAAATGGAACCCAATCCCCACTAGATGGACAAACCCAATGATAAACCATGACAGTTGATACACCAAATTGGGAAATTATTAAACACAGTTTAAAAGTAAGAAAAATGGTTGGTTAACTTAACAGCCTTCTGTCTCATCCTTTTATTCCCAGATCAGATTCAATGCAACCAAAAGTGTCATAAATTCAAAATTACACAGCAGCATCAATATTTGCTATACAGATAATAATAATTAATAATATAAATAATCATACCACACACTTCACCACATATATCTTACTATATGTAACACCTGACAAATGTAGCAAGTGGAATAATCTAAACCCACCAGCAGCAGCAGCACCACTACCTTGTCTGAGGAGAAGTTTGACCGGAAATCTGAACTTCAGGTGAAGACCCAGTCTGGGTCTGACCCTGACCCTGACCCTGAGTAAACATCGTGTCCATTTTGGACCTTTCTGAGAATGATACGGCTGCTGGAATCGTAGGAATTGGTAATTCCGATGGACCACCATACGTGACTGCACCTGGAAGCGGATGATCAAATTTACAGGTGCGCCCGAACTTACAGTGTCCATTTTGCATGTAGAAATTGCAAGCCTCAACCCCCTGTTCATCCACATCCACATCCAAAGAAGAGTTTGTTTCATTAATTTGTTGTTTTTAGTTGATAATTTATTTTTTTACAGGAAGCTTAAAAAGCTTACCGGACGCAAAGGGAGACCAATGGGGCTGAGCATACAGTTTGCCTGTGATAAGACCCAGTCAGGTGGATGATGATACTTGCAGGAGGCTCCAAACTTACAATCCCCCGTTTTCATGTAGTACTGACATTCAGGTTGACCAGGTCTTTCCGGAAATACCCTTTCAGTTTGACTAGGGCCAGGAGACGGGGGAGGTGGTGGTAAAGGACGAAAATGTCCTCCAGCTCCTGCTCCTGCTCCTGCAAAAGAAGAATTGACTCCATAGAGAGAAGCAGGTTGAGGTTGAGCAGCACCCGGAGACAGGACCGGGCTTACACGTCCCTGCATCTCGTAAACTATTGACACTATAAGAAGAAGTAGAAATAGAAAATGAAAGAAATCACACTCCAATAATTATATTGTTTCTTACCGAGTAAGGACTCCAATTAGGGGGTAAAGGAAGCATGCCAGGGGAGAGTAAGATTGGACCATAAGCAGCTGCTGGGGCGTAAGAACCAGGAACTAATGGAGGCCTTGCACTTGCAACCCGATAACCACCTCCTGGGCCCCCCACAAACTGTTGCTGTTGTTGTTGTTGTTGTTCGGGTGAAGGTGACTGCACAGTTGAATAAAATGGACGTGCAGATGCTGATGCTGACATGGATTCGCCAGTGGGTTGAGGATGATGGAATTTACAAGTTATACCAAATTTGCACTGCCCCGTTTTCAAATAGTAGGAGCATTCTTTCTCTTCCTGTTTTCATTAAAAAAAAAAAAAAAAAAAAAAAAAAACCAAGTTACAGGAAGCTTTGGAAGAAGAAGAAGAAGAAGAAGAAACAATTTAGCATGAGAAAAAGAAATAGTTACTGGTCGTAATGGATATCCATAAGTATTTAGTGGCACGTTGCTTAATGATCCACCTGCATGTCTTGGATGGTGAAACTTGCAGGATGCACCAAACTTACAGGTGCCTGTTCTTAAATAATACTACAAATAAACAGATGGAACGCTATCAATAAAAAGAAAAACAGATTCAAATTTCAATGTCTGTATGTGCAAGTTTTACATAAAACAGAGTACCTGGCATGGAGGCTCTCCTGGTCGCTCTGGGTAAGCTCCCCCTCCTACACTTCTTGCAGCTCCTCCAGCCTAAAACCATATCACAATTCAAAGTTACAGTCCATGGAGGAATAGAGTTAGATGCAAATGCAATGCTTCATAATGCATGTTACTTGCTTTTTTACCCTGTTTGTCTTTTGTTCAAGACATCGCTTTCATGGTTAATAATACATCATATGGGTTACCATGGAAAAGCTCATATGCACTTTATCATTAACAGGACATATGATAATTGATTAAAAAAACAAATAAGTAGGGAGGGGTTACCGAGCTACTACGATCTGGAGGATGATTATATCTGCACTTGCTACCATATCCACATGTCCCAGTTCTCATATAGTAAGCACAATCCGCCGTTCCAGGTCGCTCCGGATAAAACTCTCCTCCTCTTCCACCCCACAACCCCAACCGCCTCATCGATTCTACATACATTCCCCAAAACAAATTACCAATGGAAACAAAAAATCAATCAAACACACAGACAGACAGACAAAAAAGTTCGTACATTGTTCAAAACCCTAAAAAAATCTTCTAACAATGTCAAAATTGGAACTGTAAAATGCTAAGCTGTGGAAGCATTACCTTCGAGTCCCGTCTCCGTCCCCGGCTGTATCCATTCGGGTTGTTGGGTATGATCCGTCTGTGACCCGTTTCTCCCCGTGCTCCGTCCGTACAGCTCCATTTTATTTTAGGTTTTCGAGTTCCTATTTACAACAGCTCACGAAGATTTCAATGGAATCAACTCACAATCGAAGCCACACACACTTCCAGCGACTAATGCTCGCTGATTTGTTTAAATGATCGAGGAACTGGAGCTCGATCAAGTGGTGATTTTGCTGGTTGTATGCTCTGACTGCATCAACTTTATTTGAAGGGCTTCGATTCTATGCATTTGCAAGTGCAACTTTATTTGTTTGATTTTGTTTGGTGGAAAAAGAAAAACAAGATGAGTAACCGACACTGCTGTTTAGGTAATTACGAAACGACCCTTGTGGCTGCCTTTACTGTTTTGGTGTTGGTGCGGCAGTAAAGATGTGTGGTTTCACAGGGCAATTCCGTCATTTGCATTAGGTTATGGAGTTCTAATTATTGGATGTATGAATATGAAGTAAATTCCTCTCATATGTTTGCCCCAAAATAAATTATACTACTTTCTATCCGTTTCACAAAACTTCATTGCATATACGGTAAAACACTAAAACGTATTTCTATATCAACTTTTCTTTCGGTGAGTATCTATATTTTTCATGAAAATTATGACACATTTAAAAATTTTACTTATTTTAGATCAAATTTTGTTCATTTTGTGAAGCTAAAACTTTTATAACTGATTTAATTATAAAGTTATGATATAATGCTATAACTTAAATACAAGAACCCATGGGAATAATTACTACCTCAAAATGGGATGTACAATATCATCAAATGACCATATTTTTACTAAAACTATCTATTTCGTAAACAAATATCTTTGTAAAATTCTGTTAATTATGTGGAATTAATAAACCAACCAATACATGCTCTCTCTTCGTAATATGCCATTGAGTTAGATGTTCAAACATATAATATGATCAATGATGTATGGTTGGTCATATTATATGGTTGGTCAAATGTTCTAAAGAGCTCAAACGTCAGACTAAATATTAGCTATTAAAATTTGATTGTGTTGATTTTATAAAACCGGATTTAATAACAAAAACATTGTTAAAATATGATTTTACATAAGATTTTTTTTAAAAGGTATGTCATGGCTTATTAAATGCATGCAATAACCATTATATCATATGTTTTTTAAACTATATGTAATGTTAAGAGACTAAGTTTTACGAATGAATTCGTAAGGTTTTTTCATATGTGCATATCAATCAGAGAACATGTTATATGTATAGAGGGAATTAGACTACCAGCTAAACTATAATACAGCCACAATAATAAGGATATACCAATCTACATACAACAAACAATAAACAACTTCTATTATCACGTTTAGTAGTTATCTTGCTCTCGCCAACACTCCCCCTCAAGTTGGAGAATGTATGTCCATCATTCCCAGCTTGTCAAGAGAGCAATTAAACACTCTCACACACACTGCTTTCGTTAACATATCTGCAAGTTGATCATTTGAGTGTACGTGTGGTAACTCCACAGTCTTATTTTCTAGATGATCCTTGATGAAGTGTCTGTCAATTTCCACACGTTTCGTTTTGTCATGTTGTATTGGGTTATTTGCTATTTTTACTGCAGCTTCATTGTCACAATGTAACTTCATGGGTAACTCCAATTCAATGTCCAGATCTCTCATGATTCGTTTTATCCATAAGAGTTCACATATCACATGGACCATTCCCCTAAACTCTGCTTCGGCGCTTGAACGTGCTACCACCTTTTGCTTCTTACTTCTCCATGTTACTAGGTTTCCACCAAAAATGTAAAGTACCCTGGGGTAGACTTTCCATCCATACGATCTCCTCCCCAATCAGCGTTTGTATATCCTATCACCTCATGGCTCGAGTTTCTACCAAAAAATAACCCTTTACCCGGAGATGCCTTGAGGTACTTAAGTATTCGATATATTGCATTCATGTGAGCTTCACTTGGTGATTGTATGAAGCGACTAACCATACTCACAGAATAGGCTATATCTGGCCTAGTGTGAGACAAATATATGAGTTTTCCAACCAGCCTTTGATACCTATCTTTATTTGTCGGAACTTGGTTCGGGGGTATAGTTATTTTGTGATTCACTTTTATTGGGGTTTCTGTTGGCTTGCAGTCAAGCATTCCTGTTTCAGTTAGCAAATCAATTACATATTTCCGTTGACACATTGAGATTCCAGATTTTGACCTAGCTACTTCAATGCCCAATAAGTATTTTAGACTTCCAAGGTCTTTCAGCTCGAATTCTGTGGCAACTAGAGTTTGGAGATTCTTCATTTCTTTTGGATCATTTCCAGTTACCACTATATCATCTACGTATACAATAAGAGCTGTTATTTTCCATTGTTTTTGACAAACAAGGTGTGATCTGCATCGCTCTGTTTGTACCCAGCTTTCTTCATGAAATTTGAGAATCGACCAAACCAAGCTCTAGGTGATTGTTTTAATCCATATAACGCCTTCTTCAATCTACATACTTTCCCTTCCACGTTCCATGCCTGAAGGGGGTTCCATATCCACTTCTTCGTCTAAGTATCCATTCAGGAAGGCATTCTTAACATCGAACTACCTTAGAGGCCAATCTCTATTTGTTGCAATGGACACTAAGATTTGAATTGTGTTCATCTTAGCAACGGGTGAAAATGTATCTCCATAGTCAATGCCATATTTTTGGGTATAACCCTTGGCCACTAGTCTTGCCTTATATCGATCTATGTTATCATTTTCATCAAGCTTCACAGTATATATCCACCTGCACCCTACAGTCTTCTTTCCAGGAGGGAGATTCACCATTTCCCAGCTTTGATTCTTTTGCAATGCTCTCATTTCTTCATTCATCGCATCTTTCCATTTTTTGTCTTTGACAGGTTCTTGAACTTCATTTGGTATCATAACAGTTGACAGTTTCTCCACCAGTAACTCATGAGTATTTGCCAATCGATGTGCTGACACGTAATTGTTAATGGGATATTTCGACTTTGCTTTGAGATCTGCAACATATTGTTTCTTTGAAATTCCACGGGTGCTTCTGATTGAAAATATTGGTTCTAGTTCATCACTGATTTCCTGAAAAATAGAATCAGAAGACAATGCGTCTGGAGTATTAGACATAATAGATACCTCTTGGTTTTCGATACTAATGACTAGTTCGGTATCAGCGGTGGTTGTACTATCTCTTGTTTCCACATTTTCCTTTTCGATACCATACTCGTCTTCCTGGTCATCAGACATTTGATGATCCCAATGATGATAGTCTTCGTCTACATCATTGTTATCGTTTTCATCATCTCCAGGTGTGTTATGCGATATGTCAAAATACAGACCAGAGTCTATATTCTCGTGTATGTCTGCTGCACTTTCCTTCATCCCCTGAAGTGGGCACTCACGTTCAAAGTATGGTAGCATCTCATGAAATACTACATCTCGAGTAATGTGTATCTTATTTGTGGTTGGGTCATAGCACCTATACCCTTTCTTTTTATCCGTGTACCCTATGAAGATACATTTAACCGCTCGAGGTTCCAATTTTCCCACGTTTTGATGGGCATATGCAGTACATCCAAATATCCTTGGTTCAAGGCCATTACTTTCTGGTAGATTTGATAGTTCTTGAGCCTTTTGCAATGGAGTTTTAAAATCGATGACACTTGATGGTGTTCTGTTCATAATATAGGCCGCTGATCGAACCGCTTCACCCCAATATTTTCGTGGAACGTTCATGTCAGATAATGAGGCCCGGACAATTTCAAGGATTTGTTTGTTTCGTCTTTCAGCTAACCCATTCTGTTGGGGAGTTCTAGTGCATGAGGTTTGGTGTCGAATTGCATTATCCCTGCAGAATTGTTTCATTTCATTACTCATATACTCTCCACCATTATTGGATTGCAACACTTGTATTTCTTTTCTGTATACGGTTTTTATAACTTGATATAATTCTTTGAATGCACAAAAGTAAATTAGTAAATTTCAAAAACTTGATGTGCACAAAAGTACCCACTAATTTTATAATTTATAACCTAACTAACTTAACTAACTAAAATGCACCTAGACAGTGTACCTAGTCGAATTATAGAATAGTTGGGTAAGTCGGGTGTCGATCACAGGGAACGGTGTTAACTAATTAATCTACTTACTACTAAATTAATCTAATTATTAACAGCTTAAAAGGGTTTTATCTGATTTTACAAGATCAGACGAACTTTACTCAAATTCAATCAATTACTAAAAACACTTTTGTTAGTTCGAATCCACATTCCCTCAATGGTTTATAATTTAGCTATGACAATTACTGTTGGTACCAATTAATATAGTATTAGCAATTTAGTTCTAAATCTACTTACTTTAATTGATTCATATAAGTCTATGTATGGTCACACAATAGTTAACACAGAATCAATTATTGAATAAGATTGGAGCCATGTAAGTTTGATTAATCAAAACACAATTACAGTCATAATATGAGTTCTCTAGCACAGCTTAATTCAATGATTCAATTACTTATCTAAGATTGGTTTGATCTTAGCTCTAATAAACTAGTGTTCACTGAATTATTAGGTATTCAAATTCATGCAGATTTGTATTCACTAACTACACAGAACAAGAATTTAAAGCAATCAAATATTAAATTAAACATGCTAGGTAAAATCAATCAACACAAGCATATTACCAACAAGTAAAGTCAAATCTAATGCATCAAAACTATGAGTTCCAGCTTCATCTAGCTAACAGAAGCAGCTAGATTTAGCTGGACATACTAGCAAATAAACAAGCATAAATCAAAGTATAAGACATGTTCAAGTATCAACAATTAAACTAATTATGAACCTCTACTCTTTTGGTGTTGAAAACCTTCTTCCAAGACTTTTCTTCTGTTGAAATTCCTCTTCTGAAACCCTTTTCTCTCGCCAAAAACTTCTCAAGTCGTAATGAGTAAGAGAATTTATAGTATCTGATTTTACCGAGTTCACGTCGTAAACCAATTCATGTGTTCCTTTAGCACTGCATCGGTATCATCATGTCTTCTCTCGGATGCTTCCATAAATCGGGTCAACATGTTTTCCAAGTCTACTTTCTTTTCGGCTGGTGGTTGCTCTTTTTGATAGAAGCCTCGGCCTGTCTGCTTATATTTTTCTTCTTTTTGCCTCTTGTACTCATCGTAAGGCAGCCACTCTATCTTTGGTTTTCTCCAGTCTTCATCATACTTGTCCCCACTTGAGTAGCAAACTTGTGCCTTCTTGTTCCCATATTCAT